CCCCAAAACCCCAAAACCCCAAAACCCCAAAACCCCGAAATTTATTATAAATATTGAACTTGGTCTTTTAGAAATATGACTTTGGTACAAAAGTTGGATAGAGGGGAGTCTGGCCATTGACTCTTTTACATGATTTTCTTAGGGTTCACCCTATTTCTCTCAGTTATTGCTATGATCTTCACGGGATTTTGGACGATCAAATTTATCAAGATTTTCAAAGCACGAAGGAAATTACAGCTTCTTTTTCTCCTCCTAGTAGATGCATCTACTGTTGGAAGAGTGGCTTATTTTATTGTAGAAATAGTATGGAGGGCGGATAGTTGTGATAAATCTCCAAGCATATGCATTGAAGTATCACTCTATTGGCTCTCCTCAACTCTCTTTTCAGCAGCTATTGTGGTAAACATCTTTAGCTGGATCAATCAGACTTTGAGAATCAGGAAATTTCATTACGGGATACGATCGAATAAGACTTTTTTTTACATAGCCTTTTTCATTTTTCTGGCACTAATATCCCTGATTTATTTAGGATTCATAATTTCAGCTTGTCTTTCAACCAAAGAGGAGCACACGATGTTCAAAGTGTTCAAAATTATATATGGAACATCCTTCATTGTTCTTGGTGTATTTTTTATAATAGTTGGAGCAATATTCTACTGCCAGCTCAAGAAGATATTTAAGACAAAGGCTAAAGCAATGAAGTGACAAATTATATTCTCCATTATTTCTATCTCATCGAGTTTTATTCTTCGCTCGATCCTTACATTTGCCATGTTCAGTTTCTATATCTATGCGAGGTACAGGGAGAGATGGCTGAGGGAGAACACAATCTGGTTTCCTTTGATACTGGCTCTCTATTTCATTGTTTCTGAGATTTTGCCTACTTTTTATCTGTGCATGAGCGTTAAAATGGTTGAAAAGAAGATCATTGAGAAGGAAATTCAGGAGAAGTCGAATCACAAGCTTGGCCTCACTGATGATCGATCCATGCGTCTTAGAGTTAACGAATCGATGCTTTCAAGGTTTACTCTAGAAACTACTGGAGAGAAGCAATAGCCATTAATACTATTTTTATTATGCTTAGGTTAAAATTTTATCTAATATTCAATGCTGAGCTAACTTAAGGGGTTTTGGGGTTTTGGGGTTTTGGGGTTTTGGGGTTTTGGGG